TCTGAGAAGTGTCTGTTCAGGTCCTTGGCCCATTTGTTGATTGGGTTATTTGTTATTTTACTGTTTAATTTTTTGAGTTCTTTGTATACTCTGGATATTAGGGCTCTATCTGAAGTGTGAGGAGTAAAGATTTGTTCCCAGGATGTAGGCTCCCTATTTACCTCTCTTATTGTTTCTTTTGCTGAGAAAAAACTTTTTAGTTTGAGTAAGTCCCATTTGTTGATTCTAGTTATTAACTCTTGTGCTCTGGGTGTCCTATTGAGGAATTTGGAGCCCGACCCCACAGTATGTAGATCGTAGCCAACTTTTTCTTCTATCAGACAGCGTATCTCTGATTTGATATCAAGCTCCTTGGTCCATTTTGAGTTAACTTTTGTGCATGGCGAGAGAAAGGGATTCAGTTTCATTTTGTTGCATATGGATTTCCAGTTTTCCCAGCTCCATTTGTTGAAGATGCTATCCTTCCTCCATTACACGCTTTTAGCCCCTTTATCAAATATAAGATAGTTGTAACATTGTGGATTGGTTTCTGTGTCCTCTATTCTGTACCATTGGTCCACCCGCCTGTTTTGGTACCAGTACCATGCTGTTTTTGTTACTATTGCTCTGTAGTATAGTTTGAAGTCTGGTATAGCTATACCGCCTGATTCACACTTCCTGCTTAGAGTTAAGAACTCTTTATAGTAACATTATATAATTTCTTGTCACTCACTAACCTTCTGTTAGGGTCTGTAAACAAGTCAGGATGGCGCCTGGCATTTTGCCAGAGGGAGTGGTTTGTGAGGTGGCGCCAGCGAGCCATTAAGTGTGGAGATTCCTTATTGGTTGACTGCTGTATCTAGTTTATTTTAATTAAGATAAGCTGTGTGGAATGTATATATACCCCTCCTGTCCTACAATAAACAGCTCCCACTCCTGCTGTATCAATGTACACAAGTTGCTCGTCACCCCCGGTTATTTTGCTGCAGCCAGACTGCGGCAGATGGTGGCCCATACGGGGAGCCCCGGACACTCGGGGGTAAGTGACGAAAAAAAGCTGCCTGTCTCTAGATAGGATGGGAGCAAATCTGCTCATCCCTAGGCAGATAGGGTGAGAGGAAAAATGGCCATTTTGAAAAAATGGAGAAGATTGATACAGTATGTTTGTGTCTTGTTTTGCCTTGAAATGTTGTATTGTCTTTGTGATGAAAATATGGAAGGGGTGAGAAGTAAATTACTAAGGGAAAGAGGCACCCCAGTGGAACCAAGAATAGTTAGGGCATGTGTTGATAAAAGCCCAGGAACTCTAGTCAGAAAGAAAAAGAAAGTTCAAAAGAAAAAGGATTATCAGGAAAAAAGTTGCAGCAAAAGGCTATTATTGAATACTTTTTGTTACCGGAGGGTGCGTGAATCGGAGCGGCGGCTGCCACGTGCACGAGCCGGTCATGGCGTAGCAAGGACTTTCCAAGCGGCTGCAGCCGGCTCTTCCCCGCCCGCCCTGCCCTGGGAGCGGGACGCCACTGCCACGAGCCCAAATCCAAACCTGACCCGGAGGCACAGTCTCGAAGGCTCTTGCTCCCTGTGCCCAGTGGCAGTTTGAGTCTGGAACACTCCCCGGACTCTCCCCGGGACCATCTGGGGCTGCCTGGATGCTGCAGGCAGAAGACAGCCTGCGTCCCTGAAGTTTGATCATTTCCAAGGCCAGTAACTACAATGGTTCTCCCACACCTGGAAGCTAATGAGTAATGAGCACTATTAAGGCTTATTTCAAATGTAAAAAACCTTGAGATAATGTACTAAATTGTTCAGAAGGTTGTTTTCTTAGTGTTTGCTGGAATACTACAGGATTTTCTTTAACAGCATTGCCAGAGTTCCTGCCTTCGTCCCAGTGCCAGTGAAAACGAGGGTGGAACAATTTCCAGTGTTGCTGAGAACCGGACGAGACTTCGGATCAAGCTAGCTGCCTGCAGAACTTACCTGGACTATAAACTTACCTGGACTGTGATTTACTTGGACTGTGAGTTAATCTATTGAGACACTGCTTTACCTGGACTAAGACAACCAACTGTAATCTACAACAAATTGTAACTCAGTATCTTTGCTAACGGTGTCATTGCTGGTATAATTTTTCCAAGGGCTTTTTACATGGAGCCATCAATTGGCTTGGTATTGTGGCATTTTGTATCCTCTCCTTCTGCTTGTAGCAGATTATTTATGGTGTTTGTGTAAAAACCACTATGGTCGTTATTTAAATTAAACAAAAGGGGGAAATGTTAGGGTCTGTAAACAAGTCAGGATGGCACCTGGCATTTTGCCAGAGGGAGTGGTTTGTGAGGTGGCACCAGTGAGCCATTGAGTGTGGAGATTCCTTATTGGTTGACTGCTGTATCTAGTTTATGTTAATTAAGATAAGCTGTGTGGAATGTATATATACCCCTCTGTCCTACAATAAACGGCTCCCACTCCTGCTGTATCAATGTACACAAGTTGCTCGTCACCCCCAGGTTATTTTGCTGCAGCCGGACTGCGGCACCTTCTTTGTTGTGGGCCATCTATAGGTTGTGTATGTGAGCTATGTGCATTTGAGTGTGAGAGGACTGGCCTGGTGTTGCATGCTCTTTGGTCGGTGCAACACATGTGTGTACTTTTCTCTCACTCTGCCTATGATCCCCACACAAGTAAGATGATCTTAGGTAAGATGGATGTAATTTTCCAAGATGTCAGTCAAATTGCCGACCAAGATATCACCAAGCAAGAATCGACCCTCTGAAACCCGACTCTTTGTTTTCTTGTAATAGTACCTTTCTGCCTTAATTGGATGGGAGGTTCTATGGAACAGTGCTCCCCAATAAAAATTAGGGTTTGAGGCATGCTGTCTCTGTTTCCAATGGACCTCTGAGGTCAAGAGCCGTCCTGGATTTTAAAAAGGTATTTCTGTGCTTGTGTACTTTCTTCGCCATTTTCTCAGTTATTGATTTAGTCAGATTTTGTGAACCCAGCATAGATCGCCAGCTTTGCTAGATGGTGATACTTCTTGATACTTTAAAATTATTTACCTATAACATATATATGTGTGTATATGCATGTGAGACATATAAAAAATAAAATTTATAATCGTATGCCCATAAAAATAATTCCCCAATCTGGAATATGTGCCTACAATTTCAGATAAGAAATGAAGACTAACATATGGACTTGGAAATCATATGCACTAATATGATGTTTTAAATATAAGACCCAATTTAGAAAGGTGTTTTACAAATTCCTCAGAATTGTGAGGCTATTTTATTTCGATTACCTTACCTATATTATTAGTTTTATAATAAGAATTCTTGGAACATATATAGTATTACTAAAAATATGTAATTTATATTTGGAAATATATTGTATTTTCCTGTGAATATCACAATCAATTTTAATTTGAATGCACAAGAATAACAAGTCATGGCTAAAGATAACCTTGTAATTAAATACCACACTGGAAAATTAGTATTTTTAAAAAAATTTTTTTAGTTGTAGGTGGACACAATACCTTTTTATTTTATTTATTTATTTTTAAGTGATGCTGAGGATTGAACCCAGTGCCTCACACGTGCTAGACAAGTATTCTGCCACTGAGCCACAATCCCAGCCCCTAATACAC